GTGGCCAGGCGCGATGAAGACGCGGGAGGAGGGCTGAGCGCTCGGAAAGGCGGCGGCGGCGCGGCCAGGGTCCCTTGGCTAGGCCCTCACGCCCCGTCTCCCCGGGGTGGGGCAGGGTGGGGGTGGGCCGAGGCGTGGACTTGGGAAGCCTGGCGGCGCCAGGGATAAAAGGGCGCCGGCTCGCTGCGCCGCGCTGGGAAGCTGAGCCGCCTTGCCCCCGGCCCCAGGAAGGGCATGGCCCTGGCGGACTCCAGGCCGTGACTCGCGCTCTCCGGCCCCGCAGATGCTCCGGGCACAGTACTCCCGCGCGTGGCGGCTTCCCAAGGGCAGGTGAGGACCGAGAGGGCCCGGGCGCGTGGGGGTGGGGGGGTGGGGTGCAGGGAGTCGCCCAAGGGAACTGGGGCACACAGGTCTTGGACACTTTGAACTGTTCCCTGGCACTATTTTGAGGAGCTGAATTGTCAGCGGGGACTCCTCAAAAAAGGGTGCTTCTGAATCGGGGTCATGAACGCCCAGATCTTCCACGTCTGCCTCCCTCCCTCACCCTCTCTAGGTACCTTGTACCCTAAGTCTCTTGTTACTAAGAAGTTGCCTATGGGATTCCAAAGGGAAGCTGACTCTGGTCTTGCAGTCAGAGCCGGGAAAGGACACGCCAGGGGTCTCTTTCCAAGTCCTCCGACTCGGGGACTCCAAGCCTCTCCTCCTCCTCCTCTTCCTCCCCTTCTCTTTCTCCTCCTCCTCTTTCTTCTCCTCCTCTTCTTCTCCTCCTCTTCTCCTCCTCCGCTTTTCTTTCCTCCTCCCCCACTTCTTCCTCCTTCTCCCACCCCTCCTCCTCTCTTTCTTCTTCCTCCTCTTTCTCCTCCTCCCCTCCTCCTTCTCTGACCCAAGTTGTCCCTGGAAAAGAGGCAAACCAATGCCCAGAGTGCACCGAGCCAAGCGAAACACTGGGAAAGTCATCATTAGAGATACAGAGGGGGGTTGAGTCCGAGTCCCAAGTGGCGGAGACTCGCGGGGACGACCCTAGCCGCCGTCTCCCCAAAGCGCGCCATTTGACGACCCGCGCGACCGAGCGGGCTCTGGAAGCTGGTCAGGGCCGCAGGGCACTCTCCGGTGACTCCAGGTAGTCGCCCCACCCCCCCGCAAGGAATAAGGCAGACAGCCCCGTGCGCCCACCCTGCCTTCCCAGGGGTCGCAGCTGTTTCCGGGGGTCTCGACTTTCCGCGCACCTGGGACTGGGGTTCTCTGGGACGATTTCCTGGGGTCTCCAAGTAGCGGGGGCATTCAGTGAGCCTTGAAGGCTGGCGCGCCTGGGCCAAGTCTGTCCGCAGGCCCGGGGCGCTGGCCCAGAGGCTCTTGGAGGAGGCCCAGCGTCGAGGTCGCGAGCGGGGAGGCGAGCAAGGAGCCTCCTCTTTCTGCAGAACTGAGAAGCCAATTCCTTCCAACTCTGGGAGGTGGAGCTTCAACTGGCTTTTGGCAAAGCTGCCTGCGCGCCCACAGCTGACGGCGGGACGCCCGCAGGCTGAAGAGAAGAACCGCTTTGAGCTCCTTTAACGGTTGCAAGAGTTTGTTATACGCGGTTAGCACCGGCGACTGGGCAGGTGCACCTCTTTGTTGTGTTGTCCCTGTTTCCCTATCATTGTTTTTAAAGCATTTTAAAAAAGCATTATTATTATTATTATTATTTTGTAGAGACAGAATCTCGCTATGTTGTCCAGGTTGGTCTCAAACTCCTGGTCTCAAGCAATCCTCCTGTCTCAGCCTTCCAAAGTGCTGGGATGACAAGGGTGAGCCACCACAGCCAGCTACTTTTCCATTTTATTTCTTTAGAGACAAGCTCTCGCTATGCTGCTCAGGCTGGTCTCAAACTCCTGACCGCCGGCAGTTCTCCTGCCTCAACATCCCAAAGTGCTGGGATTAGGAGCATGAGGAAAAACTAACCACTGTCGTTCTGAATGAGCTAGCAGATGTAGCCCAACATTTATCTGCATTTTCACTTTTTAAAAAGTGACTTACTTTATTTATTTTTCTTTTTGCCTGAATGTATACCAGGCAGTTTCTTTCTCTTTATTGAATGGTCGATTTTATGGCGGTTTCCCTAAATCTCCTTCCTGATAAAAAATGATCCCATGTCATCAAAATCCTTTGGCTCTTCCAAGAGGAAAAATAAGAATAGTAAACAAACCCAGAAATAATGGGGTGATTCTCCCTCTTTGAATACCTCTTTAAGAACGTTTAAAAGATAGAATTAAGACTTTGAGGAATATCACAAAGGAGAGACAATATTTTTGATATAAACAACTTTCTTAAGAAAATTTCAAAATTCAACTATATACAATATATGGTGGCTTAGTCTTGCCGTTGGAGGCAGAGCAGAGCCTCTAATTATTTATTTTATTATAGAAACATGGATAGCATTATCTGTCTTCCATCTCTTCTTTTTCTTCATCTTCAGCTCCTCCTCCTTCCTTCCCTCCCCCTTCCTCCCTTCTTCCTTTTGTACCCTCCCTCCTTCCCTCCCTCCCCCTTCCTCCCTTCTTCCTTTTGTACCCTCCCTATTTTCCTCCTTCCTTCTTTCTCCCTCCATCCTTCTCCCTCCTTCCCTCTTTCCTCCCTTCCCTCCTTCCTTCTACCATCCCTTCTTCCTTCTCTCCTTCCTCCTTCCTCTCTTCCTTCCTTTCTCCCTCCCTCTTATTCCCCATTCTTCCATCCTTCTTCCTTCTCTCCCTCCTTCCCTCCCTCCCTACTTTCTTTCCTTCCTTCCTTCTTTCCCTCCCTTCTTCCTTCCTTTCTTCCCTCTTAATCTCTCTCTGTGTGTGTGTGTGTTCCATGTACATGCTTGTAGAGCACAAGGCAGTAGATTTCCAAGTCATAATATCCAAGTCCATATAATCTTTAATATATTCTATTAAGGCTATATTCTAGAGTAATGATTAAAATACATAGTGAGAGTTTAGGGAAAATAAAGAGTTTCATCTTTCTTAATTCCCCTGTTTTGTGTACCTAGAATGTATCATTTAAAGTCTCAGGCAGCTTAAAGCCACGATGCAAAACTCAGACGTTCCAAATGGCTAAAATCGAGTGTATCTCCCCGCGGATAAGCGCATCTCTGTCTTGCTCCTCACTAGGTATCCCAGGACGACGCCCTCGGACAAGATGCTCAGGCGGGCGCGTTGGGGGGCTCTCTCCGTGGTGCTGATCCTGCTCTGGGGCTCTCCGCCCGCCGCCCTGGCCTGTCCTCACCCCTGCGCTTGCTATGTTCCCAGCGAGGTCCACTGCACCTTCAGATCCTTGGCCGCTGTGCCCGCAGGGATTGCAAAGCACGTGGAGAGGATCAACTTGGGGTTCGTACCACGTCCTCAGGGCGCATTCTCCGTGTCTATGTGCGCGTGTTTGTGAGTGTTTGCATACACTTGGGTGCATCTGTCTAGCCTGCATGGGTCACTCTGTAGATGGGCGGAACAGAGGTCAAAGTTTCGAACAAGGTTACTAAGCACAGTGCTTTTGGACGACCATCTAAATCTCTCCATCAGTTGTAAGATTTATTCACAGAGCGTGATGAACAACTTTAGTTTGTCAGGGAATTTCCTGGATAGCGTTTATTGAATATGTTGTACATGCATGTGCATATGACATACAGTTAAGTGTATGAAGAATATTTAAACAGAGACTCCAGAAGCTATTTAAGACTAACACAAAGAATAAGTAGCTCATCTGTGACACATTGCAAGTCACTTGGATGACGGACTTATGACTTTGAGGCAATGAAAGAGTTTTTTTTTTTTTTATGTTGCCTGTTTAAAATAATTGTATCTTCTTAAGAGGTATTTTTTTTGCAGCATTTCAGATAGAACTTTTATGCCTTTATTTCATTTTTGTACACACTAATGTTTTATTCACAAATACTCATGTGCCATGTTAATAATCAAATATCCTATGGAGTTTTTTCAACAAAATGTATTAGCTATTTTCTACCGTCTTGAAAACAACAAATTAAATTACATTTCTACTTTTTTAGTGACTTTATTTATCATTTTAAAAAATTTTTGTTTCATGAATGTCCACTGTGAGGAGGTTTTAATAAAATGAAATGGCTAAACTTGAGTCAGTGAGCAAATAATTGTAAACGTGCCTGGACACCTTGTACCACTGAATTTTTTTTTAAAAATCTTGCATCAATTGACTGTAAGGCCCACTGGTAGAACAATAGAATAAAAAGTAGACATAATAAGTTGGAAACTTCCCCAGTCTGTGGTGATAGACTGTTAAATAGATTTCTCAAGGAAATTTCAGGAAACTTTATGATTTGACTGTCTGAAAATCAAACCACAGTGGAGAAACCTCAGAAGAAAAAACAACTTGGCTTCACCAGAGGAGAGAATATTAACCCACAAGTCAGCATCCTTTCATGCAATCTTATAATTTATTAGGAGAGGCCATGCATCTAATGGGAGTAAGAAAAATAGAAAAAAAAGTTGAAACTCACTTGAACCAGAATAAGATGGAGCATGTGTTGTTTGCAAAGCAGAAAATAGAGCTTTATCAACAATTTACTTTATTTCTTGCAATTTCTAGTGTGCAATATTGTTGTTTTTTTCTTTTGAACCATTTCAACATGTGGTCTCATTTACTGTGGGAAACTATGTAATCCCACAAACCCACCCTTTGGCAGGTCACACATCTAGAGGTGCTGTCAGACAGGGCTTGGTGAAACTCCCTAAAAAGCATGGGAATAAGGCATAAGTGCTTTCTCCTGTATTTCCTACACAGATGGCTGTGTGCCTATGGGGGTTGGGACTATCAGGCTAGAGTCCGAGGTGAGGAGGTCCAGGCATGCATCCTCCCCAAAGAGAAGTCTACTCATCTGATGACTTTAAACTTGCCACACCAAGACTCTTATGTGTCAAGCTGTTTCATCTGATTTACAGTTTCTGTGATTTTTTTTTCTTCCCACCCATCTTTAAGTTGAAGTATTTTGTGAACATGGGACAGCTAACTCATCTCTAAATTAGAACAGAATTTCTGATAGTTTCATTAAAAAAAAAAACCCTCACAATAAACAATGAATTTTGGTGCCTTAAAGGCTTGGATGATGGAATAAAACAAAGATAACAAAATGTTTCTTGTTCTTATTGGTGCCATCGTGATATTTAGAGTTGGTTTTGTGAAATATTAACAAGAAAGGAAAACCGTATGGAACTGCTTCACAGCACTAACATATGTTATTTTCATCTGGTCTAGTTTGTAACATGAATCAATATATTACTTTTTAAAAATCACTCATCATGTCATACGAGCATGATAATGAAGTGAACATTGTTCATTTTGGGGGGGGGGATTGGAAGCAAAGGCAGCATCTAACAAATAAAACTCAGGATCTGCCTTGTCTTTTAGCAGTTTGGAGGGAGCATAAGACCCTCGAGGAATGAGAGATTGTTGGCCTTGAGCTAATGAAACCGTTTCCACACAATTGTTATGAGGGTTCTCTGTTAGCACTGCTGCTTCCTGCCTGGGCAACCTCTGAAAATTTCTATACAAATATTTTTTTAGAAAACAAAAAAACAATTATCCACTCAGTTTCTGATGTATAGACTTAAAAAAAATTTCCCCCCTTGGTTAAAAGCCTTCTTTTGGTGACGTATTTTGGAACTTCCACAATGTCCCTACTCATCTATTTTATGTTAAATTCTGCTTTTTGGTACTAACTGGAACCTGTAACGCAATTTTTCAAATGTTGTCTGACATAAACATTTCACTTAATTTGTTATGTAGCCAGCAATTGACAATCAGCAGATGATAAAGGGCTGGGCATAGTGATTCATGCCTGTAATTACAGCACTTTGGAAGGCCAAGGCTGGAGGATCGCTTGAGCCCAGGAGTTTGAGACCAACCTGGGCAACATAGTTAAACCTCAACTCCACAAAAAAATGTTTAAAAAGTTATCTGGGCATGGTGGTGCAGGCCTATAATCCCAGCTACTCAGGAGGCTGAGACAGGAGGATCATCTGGGGCCAGGAAGTCGAGGCTGTGGTGAGCCATGATGGTGCACTTGAACATCACTTGAGTGCAGGGAGGAGAGGAGGAATCCTGTACTCCTGGGGGACAGAACAAGACTCATGCATGCCCTAGAGTATACGATTCCTGCTCTCTTCCCTGCACTCAAGTGATGTGATTCCCTGGGCTTCCCCATTCTGACATCTGACACTAACATTCCCCATTCTGACATCTGACACCTGCATCCATAGACCCCAGAAACATGTACCAGGAAGATCATAGCATAAGACTGATATGGCCTCATCCCAGACCTTAGGCATCTTCTTTGAACAGGGGGTTTATTCAGGTTTGGAGGGAACTCAGTCACATTAATCCTCCATTTTTGTGCATTTCCACTTTTTCTCCACTTTGGCACCTACCATGATAGTTGGATGTCAAATCACACCTGATTGTTTTTGGTGACAAAGACAATGTGCTGAGAAACATCAGGTTCTTTCTGACCCATTTAAGAAATCCAGCCTTCAAGTCCCATCTCCACCACCTCAAGACCTGCCTCCTCCTTCTGGGTTCTCTTTGAGTCATTCTGTCTACTCCAAGGGATTTATTTCATGAGGCAGTGGGCCAATGTCTCCTGAGTGTGGACCAGGGATCTCCATCTTGGTCCTGGCTCCAATCTCACCTTGGATCCTCCCTGAAATCTCAAGCATCACATGGAACAAGTAGCTTCGGATGGTTTCCCCCACCTTTGCCTGTCCCAACTTTCCCCATCTCAGCGAACAACAAATCCAGCTATTTGCTCCTGTCAAAGCAGAAGTCCTTCCTCCAAGTTGTCTTGATTCTTGACTCCACCACTCAGCAATGCCTGTTGGCTCTTGCTCCAAAAATGTTTGGAAATGATGTATGGGTCTTCATCTCTGCTACTCCACCTTGGCCTTGGACCCAGCACCCCTCTAGGATTCACCTCTTTTTGTCTCCTCCTTCCTCTCTTGACTACCTTTGACTCCTTCTCCAGGTCGTGGCCAATATGGCTGTTTCTACACATACTTCAGTTCATCTTATTCTCTTCCTTAAAACCCTGCGATCTCTTCCAGTTTCACTTGGAGTGAAGAAAACAAATTCCTTCCCACGTCCTCTAAGCTCCTAGGTAACCCAGCCCCTGTTAATCCCACCTACTCACCAGATAACCGTCCTATCTAGATAGACCTCAGGTCCCAAGAAATGTCAGAACGTTTTGATGCTGCTATTGATTTTCATTTTTGTGCTCACCATTGCATAACGATTTTGTGGTTGAATCCTCAATAAGCATGAACCAATGGAGGAGGTGCATCTGCCTGTAAACTACCCAGGGTTAGAACAGGATTTCTTCACCTCAGGATAATTGACATTTAGGGCACTACTGTCATTTTAAATAGGACAATTTTTTGTTTTGTGGGGCTGTCCTGTGCACTGTAGGAGGCAAAACAGCATCCCTGGCCTTCACTCACTGGATATCAGTAACAATCCCTCCCTCCGTTGTGATAACAAAAAGTCATTTACAGATATTGTCAAATGTTTTAAGCAAATTCACCTGTGATTGAGAACTACTGCCACAGATAGATGATAGATAGGTAAATAGATAGATAGATGGATAGATAGATAGATAGATAGATAGATAGATAGATAGATAGATACGAGGGAGGATCCCCCAAAATGGGATTTATGTATAAAAGTTGTGTGTGTGTGTGTGTGTGTGTGTGTGTGTGTGTGTGTGTGTGTGTATTCCTATCTGTTTAAACTTCAGTAACCTTCCAAGTTCTCGTTGTTGGATGCAATCCACTGATCAAGATGTTGCTTCCATTGCTAAAAGCAGTTTTGGAACTCATCCATTTGATACCTTTTACTGTTTTTGCTGTTTTTTTTCACCTCTTCCACATCAGCAAAACATTCCCCTTTGAAGACTTTTTTTCATCCAGAGAAACAAATAAACAACAACAAAAAAAAATCACTCAGGGTGAGATCGAGTGAATAGGGAGAATGGGGAATGGGGGCATACTGCTTTGGGTCTAAAACTGCTGAACACTCAGCATGGTGTGGGCAGGTGCATTGCCATGGTGGAAGAACTAGTCACCTGTTTGCCACAGCTTGGTATGGCGCACAGCAATGCTAGCTGCCACACATTGTGGCACACAGCAATGCTAGCTGGTACACTGGCGCTGATGAGTTCCTAGAACACTTACCTAGCGGGGGAAGCCTGTACTACAAGGACTCCGCCCTCTAAAAAGATGACTCATGGTTTTTTTGGCTCCCCCCTCATAGACAGATGGATAGATAGATAGATGGTAGACACATAGACAGACAGTGTGATAAATAG